ACGCAACTTTACCAGCAATACGTCTTTATCGCACTGCTACTCAAAACCTATTCCCATCACCATATCAATTGACCCGGGTATGCCTCATTTAGTATTTTTACTCTCATAATTTCCTTGCTCTTCCCGAAGTCTTGCCGTGGACACTTGTTGTTCGTCTCATTTCTTGGGTGGGTATGCGAGCTTGGGCAGCGGTCTCAAAGCTTTGGTTTTCAGTGGCTAATCGCACTACCCAATTAGTTCTTCGGACCCCCATCGTTTCGCAACGCTCCATTTCCGCGTCCGTGCTCGCCGTGGAGCCCGCATACATCTCTCTCGCCTTCGCCTTTTAATTTCTCCCTTACTCTCTCTACAATCGGCAGTTCTACCAGAATACCGCTTTCTGGCTTCTTCACCTTACGCCAGGTGTCCTGAAAAAAGGGATCAGACTCCTTGCCCACGGAAAGGATACTTAATTCATCATGTCGGGAAAAATGACACTTTACAAGCTGGTGGTGCTCGGAGACGGTGGTGTAGGGAAAACGGCTCTCACGATCCAGGTTAGCTGCTACTATAAATGCCTGCGCTCAACCTCGGCCAACTGACCCCCTTTCTTCCGCTCTAGTTGTGCTTGAATCACTTTGTTGAAACCTACGATCCGACCATCGAAGATTCCTACCGTAAACAAGTGGTCATTGACCAGCAATCATGCATGTTGGAGGTGTTGGACACCGCCGGCCAGGAAGAGTACACAGCACTTAGGGACCAGTGGATTCGCGACGGAGAGGGATTCGTACTCGTCTACAGCATCACTTCGCGAGCTTCCTTTTCCCGCATACAGAAGTTCTATAATCAGATCAAGATGGTGAAAGAATCAGCCAACTCCGGATCGCCCTCAGGTGCTAGCTACTTGGGCTCGCCCATACACACCCCTTCTGGCCCTTCGCTCCCTGTGCCTGTCATGTTGGTCGGCAACAAGAGCGACAAGGCTGTCGAGCGCGCAGTTTCAGCACAGGAAGGACAGGCTCTCGCCAAAGACCTCGGGTGCGAATTTGTCGAAGCCTCCGCCAAAAATTGCATCAATGTGGAAAAGGCATTCTACGACGTCGTGCGCATGCTCCGTCAGCAACGTCAGCAGCAGGGCCGCTCGCAAGACCGGCGGCCGACAGGAGGAGCCCGTGATCCTGGCCCCGAATATCCTCGGTCATTCCGACCTGACCGCAATGGCAGTCATCGACGTCCATTCAAGTGCACAATCCTATGATCTTGGCAATATACAAACATGCAGCCGCCTGGCTCTATTTTGGACCGTTCAATACTGGTCTAGACCCTGCAAGGAAGCGCAAGACACAATTGCCGAGAATCAGGGCCGGGGGCGGGCTCAAAACCTTCCGCACATGTGACTTTTCTTACGAAAACCCGTTCAATTCAACTCACGACATCTATCTATTATCGTACTCTTACTCATATTGGCTGCTTGACGCTTCGCCGGTCTTCACGGCCTATATGAGATTGCAGCCTGCAAATCATTTCCGTTTGCTATGTTATGCTGTATCGAAAGTACCTTTTTTTTTTGCTACCATGGGTGTACTTTGTCCCACCAATGCAGGCAGAGCATCAGGATATGCTTGATGCATGAATTGCGATTATCTATTCTCTGTGTTGTACGCGGGTGATTATTTTTTGGATTCTACCGCAGGGTGTATTGACTACAGCAGGGTGTTGTGGTTCAAAGGGTTGCGGATCTAGGAGCTCCCAGTACCAAAGAAAGATTCGCGCTTCATGTGCCCTCTTTCTTGTCTGTTATCTGAGCTCTTTGGCAATAATCTGCGTGTGGTTCTCATTCTTCCTGTTCTATTCTTATCTTGTTATTTCTATTGCTATTGTGGTTCGATGCCCGTTGGCCCCGCCCCAACCTGGATATGAATTCTGCTTTCAACTCTGCTTCACCATGGTGCAAGGCAACAGCATGAAAGCAGCCGACAACCTTACAAATGGATGAAAGCCACATCAGGGTGGTAGAATGTGATGGGCGCAATGGAGATTATTGGTGGACATGGGATTTCAATGAATGGCTCGCTTGGAAGCCAGCAAAGACATGGCAGTCGACCATTTAGCAGGCATTGCGATATGATACCCTACGGCTGAACTCTTACGAGTTGTGCTTTGTTCTGTTCCCCTTTACTTTATTTCCTTCCCCCCCCTCCTTTCCTCCTCTATTTTTCTCCTTTCTGCTCTTAAACCATTGATTTTGCTGTGCTCATGTTGACGCATCTGTACCCCCACCAAAAGACCAAAAGAAGACCCAATAAATTAAATGATAGAATGCAACGTGGAAATGACACTATGCTCTTCACGAGGTGTCCCTGATCATCTGAGGCCAGGGACGTTATACCCTCCCACAGCTTCTATTGTCTACATACTATATCTGGGATCTACTCAGTCTCTCTCTCTCTAGTGCGCGTGCAAATCTAGTGGTTCTGCCTCATAACGCTGATCTTTTAGATCACGCAAGCAAGCAAGCAATCACGTTCTTCACTGAGAGACTGCCTTTCTACTTACGCAGGAACAAGTTTGTCGGATCTCTCTTCAAGGTCTCGGGCGCTTCCGATGGCGTCATGCAGCACAGCTGCAAGTGACATGCTAGCCGTACCAGGGTCAGTGGTCAGGCCATTATACTATGAGCAATAAATAAGGTAACCCGAGGATCTTGCCTAGTGGGGCCGATTTGGCTACAGCCCATCGAGACTACCAGTAAGTTAGTTGCAAGATGGGGAGATCTCAACAAATGACAATTGCATCCATCACCACCAAATGAGGAATGGCAACTTATGCTCTGGAGTATTACTAACGGGGGAGAAAACGCAACTCCCCTAACCCGTTGTTGCAGACGGGGAGGATCTCTGGGCAAGATCGTACTATCCATTCGCCCTGCAGCTCTCTAGGTACTGTACATCATCGATATCTTGCCTAGGTGCCCCCCCCCAAATGCACGTCGCAATACTTGGCGAACCCTGCGACATACGACTAGCTATCTGCAGAAACTGTGGGGCTTAGGTAGTCTAGGTTTCAACACAACTTCATTCTGAGGCAGTCACCCGCAGGAAGCGTTTTGCACCAGTTTGTCTAGGCGCTCTGCTTCTTACCGGTGAGAGGAGATGAGTTCATGCCGGCATCCCCTGCTCTTCGCCTTTCGCTTTCGTCTTTCTTTCCCTTTTTTTTTTTTTTTTTTTTTTTTTTTTTTTTTTTTTTCCTGGTTTGTCATTTTAGTTTGTCTGTGTGGCTAAGGTCACTTTGTTAGCCCGATGCTCTAGCTTAAACATTATAGTCCCTAACGAAGGATTTTACCATGGAGACGTTTGGTTAGGGTTGGAGCTGATGCCGATCCTACGGGCCGCCATGCACTGCGCGCATTTCCCTCGCCTGTTGAATATTCTAACAAGAAGTGGTGGTGGTGGTGGTGGTTTCCAGCACGGATAGCTGCAGTTTTGACAGCGGTCGGTCAGTCTCTCCCAGTTCCTTTGCTTTTTCCTTGTCTCGAACTTGTTCAGGCGGTGTGTGTGTGTGTGTGTGTGTGTGTGTGTAGGTAAGGGCGAGAGTACCTTAGTATCAGTAAGCCATCCAGGGAGAATTTGAATGAAACGCTTTAATCCAGGAAATTTTGGGCCAGTCCTTTCTCTTTTTTTCCCAGGCTAGTATTGCGGAAAATGCTAGACGTTCAGAAGACCCATGGGACGCTCACGGAAGACTGCGTCGAACAACTGGAACTCTTGTTGGGGCGCTGATGAAAGGAGGAAAACCCCACCCAGATCACAATTGGATGAGCACACAGGAGATTGTACATATATGCCCACTTGATCTTGATCAACGAGGTGACTGCTCGAGGCGAAGCACGACTTAGATGTAATGTAGGTCATTTGCATTGCAGGCTGCCTACCTAGCCCCCCCCTCCCCCCCCCCCCGACGAATTCGTACGACAGTGCTGAGCTACCACTTAACCTGAGCTACTGCTTGATGACGGTGGGGATGGGAATATCTAGATTTTGCATATTTCTTGTCCCTTAGCGGTACTGGGGCACCGTATGGCAAAGTCTTGTTGCGCTCTAGCAATAAACAAAGCGGGGCCGGGGGTCAGTCGGCCACGCGGGAAGTGGTAGTGGAGATACCATCAGGACGCAGGACTGGTGCTCAAGGGAACCCGATCATCTGGATGAGCTTTATGTGGCTACGAGAGCTCTGGTGATGACGTGGAGTCGGGATCGAAGGGCGGAGAATCAATTTGGTTTTCGACTTCTTTTCACTTTGGACAATTTAGGTCAATCGAATCAGTGGTCCGAGGAACATGCCTCACACATCGACATTAAAATTATACACAAGATGAGAAGGGCTGATAGAAAAAAAGGGAGGTGGTAAAGACATGCAAAGCCCAAGCCCAGGGAAATAGATAATATGTGTCATCGAAGTTTGAAAGGGGAAGAAAAAAATAAAAAAAAAAAGAACGCAAGCCATCATAAAAGAATCAAACCAAGTTATATGGCAAGTCATGAGAGGGAGAGGAAAGAAAGAGAAAAAAAGATATTCACACAAATACACCAAAAACATGTCAAAGTCAGAAAAGACACGCGAACAAAAGAGACCGTCCTTGCCAACATCCCCGCCCATTTACCAATCAGTTCAGTCACGTACGGCGAGATCAGATCAGGCATGTCTTCCCTCCCACTGCAGTCGGCTGCCACCATCTTGCGTCGCCTTCCTTTTTTCTCTCTTCTTTTCCCTTCAAGGTAGAACAACAGAATTCACGTGGTTGATTGCAGCTGGAGGACGATAGGAGATACATCATCGGAAATAGCAGTAGTGATTTGCATTGAAATGGATTAGATTTTGTTTTCTGCTCTCTTCATAGTCCGGGTATGGGCCCGGAGCGAAAGATAGGATGTTTCGAAAAGAAGAAGAGATAGGGGGAAGCTTTGGGGCTTCCTACAACCACTCCATCAGTTCGGTTTATCCCTTCTTGCCCGGGTCATCTAGACAACAAGAGCCGTCCCCCTTTTCAGCATTTCAGGTACACTGAAAGGCAGCTTACAACAGGTAGGCGACGAGAGCGAAGACGGTGGCGAGACCGGCACCAGCGCCGACGGCAGCACGGGAAGCACCGCCAGTGAAGACGGGGGCGGAGGGGCTGGTGGCCGAGCCGGAGCTGGAACCAGTGCCCTGGGCGGAGACACCCTCGGGGGAGGAGCCGGTGCTGGAGGAAGAAGAAGAGCTGGAGCTGGAGCTAGCGCTGGCCACGGGGCTGGCGGAGGCGGAGGGGATGGGCTTGGAGGAGGAAGGACGGCCGGAGGGGATCACGGGGCGGGTCGAGAAGATTCCGCTGGGGCCGGGGGTGGGCTTGACTCCCTGGGGGTGGGCTCCCGTGGCTCCGCTGGGAGAGGAAGCGCCAGCACCGGGGGATCCGGAGGATCCGGAGGAGCTGCCGGAGGAGCTGGAGCCTTCATTGGGGGAACCACCGCCAACGGCAGAA